GTTATTAACTTAATAAAATATATGTATAAAAGTATATGTAAAAATAATCGACAATGGCATCGCATGATTAATTCGTGTCATGTCATGAGACGCCAGCTTCAAATCAGCGGTACAGCGTTTCTCGAGAAAGAAGAAGACAGCAGTTGTCGGTACTCCTTCTCTACCGCTCGAACTTGGCCGAAGCGCGGAGCGTACACGGACGAGCGCTCGCGCTAGTGTGTGTGCCAGCCTATCCCCTCTACGTGCTGCAGCGTGGCTGCAATCGTACATGAAATGGCATCCCTGCCTCTGAGACTCGAGTGGTGGTGCGGGAAGCCTCCGAAATTGGGCCGAAATGTGCAACTAATTCCAAGCGCTGATTTAACAATTAAATGTTTTCAATAAGTTTTTCATTTACTCTAACTGTCATATTTGAGTGACTGTTTTTTTTCTGAAACTACATCCCTTATAAACCTTTTATTTTGACTTATATAAATCTTGCCAAAATACTTGTCCCACTTGATATGAAACGCCCTATATATGTATAAAATATCATAAGTTTATTAATATTTTATACATTTTTCACAGTTCTTGAAAACAATCTCTTCTTATTTTATGACTATGAGAGCTGTGATTACTGAATAAAGTAGCTGATTGAATTAATATGTTGGAAGAAACATGGGAATATTAAATAAGAAACGAAATAATTAACAAAAGGAAATGAGAAAGAAAATATTACATAATATTATATTTAGAGGTATTATTATATATATATATATATATATATATATATATATTATATGTATAGCATTATCTTATATTTAACATAAAATAAAATGCAATAATGTTTATTATATCTTATTATTATGTGAACTCAATGTATACAAAACATACATCCATTCTATTCTGACTTCACTTCATCCATCCACTTTATCTATATTCCCTTTTGTCCATTCTTATGCATTGTCCACCACATTTATCCATCTACAATCTTATTCTATTTCATCCTACATTTTACATATTTTTCGTTTTCAATCTCTCGAATGACATTCATTTAGAATACAGTACATATACACTTTAGTTCAGTAGTAATAGGGCAGCCATGGTGTCAAAACAAATGACGTCATTGACGCCAGTGACGGTGGAGGGAAAGGCCAGACAGGGAGGAAAAGAGAGAGAATAGACGGATTTGATTCGCGGTGATAGAATAGAAGAAGTAATCGATTTATCGGTCTACGCATTCTGATTGGCTCTATCCATAATTGCCCAACGAGCTGATTGGCTGTGCCCATAGTACTCCGCCTGCTGATTGGTTGCGGGGCGATTTCGGGCACTCTTGATGAGAAAATTTTGACGAGAACAAAATGGAAGTGAAAATGAAAAGAAAGATTCTGTGTTTTATCTTGTAGTAAAGGAGGGGGAGAAAGGAATGAGCATGTTCGGGTTTCTTCTCAGACGCAGAACTATAACATATACAATAACTTAAGGCTGAAAGTGAGAGAAAATTTGTATATTCCTTTGTGAACTTTGGGAAGCAGTTAAGTTTTGTACTTTTTTGAAAAAGAAAATCACGTGCAAGGATTTCGAACTCGGATATTCTGCCTATGATTTTTTCCCTGAGCTGTGTATTAGTTTAATGGATCGATGATCGGTTTTATATTTTAAGTTTTTGACGAGATTCAGGAACACTGATTGGACGAGATGACTTTTATGAGGGAGAAGCGTAGCATTTGGATAGGAAAAACAGGAATGTTAAGTTTTCAGTTTGGAAATGAAAAAATGAATGATGTCATAGAAGAGGATTGTACATATACTTGTGAGGAGCGGTGTCAAAAATTTTAGAACGAAGGAAAAAGATAAGAAAGAAATAAATTAGATTTCGAGTTATAAAGTGAAACAAATGTTGATTTTATTTAATATATAAATTTATGTAAACTTCCTCGGAAATAATCGAATACTTCTTTCGTACTTGTTACATGGTTTAATTCAGAAAAACAAATGTTACATAAAAATTATAACCTCCGGTTCATTAAGCAGTAGCAATCGCGCCCCTTAGGCGCATTGCGCGTCAATCCAGATCTTCCAAGCCTCTCGGTTCCCCGCCATCATCTCCAACTGTCGCTATGTTTTGCTTTTGCTTGCGACTTCTTGATCGATTACGGCGCCATGTATTGCTCGGTCGGCCGGAACGTCGATTGCCTTGAGGATTGCCTTTCAGTCAAGTGTAGTTTTGGCGATGTCTCCGGTGGGGCGTCGGAATGTATGTCCAATCTATCGCCATTTTTGGCGTAATCTTCCTTGGCAAGCGGGCATCAATTATTGGCTAGCCGTAACAGTTCGATATTAGAGATGCAATTAGGCCAAAAAACACGGAATATGTGACGCAGACATCTGTTGATAAATGTTTCGAGGCGTCTGAGATTTTGGTGCTTTTCCCATGTTTCGCATCTATAGAGAAGAATGCTAATAACGCAAACATCGAAGACGCGGAACTTGAGACATAAGTTTCTGGACATAAAGTTTGACTTCCACATCTTGCCTAAGGCGAAATAAGCATCCCGAGCACGATTGATACGGTTCTCAATGTCTGCCTCCTATTTTGTTCACAATGGCGCCGAAATAACAGAAATCATCGACGTTGTCAATTACGTCGCTGCTAAGAAGCAATAGCTGGTTACTTGTGCCTATTCGCATTACTTTTGTCTTCTTGGTTTTGTCTTCTTGATTCCCAGTCCTTCTCAGCATTGTGCTGCAACCGATCCAATTTTTCTTTGATGCGGCCATAGCTGTTGGACATCAACACTAGTTATCCGTAGCCTAGATCGTACAGCCGGATGTTCAGCGTGAATTAAATGCCATTAGGGGCCTCGACGTTGATGCGTTCCAGTATTATCAAGCGCGACTAGGAACAAGAAGGACGATAGAATGTATCCTTGCCTGACTCCCGTCGAGATGATGAATAGCTCGCCTCCTGCACCATGGTGTTGAACCCTGCATGTAGTGGATGAGTACACCTCGATACACCACGAATCGACTCGATGATAACGACTCCGGGACTCTCAGATTTTCCAGTGTCCTCCAAATAGCCTCTCGATCCAGCGTGTCAAAAGCCATCATCAAAATCAAAGAGGAGATAGAAGGTGACCGCCATTCCATTGACTGCTCTATGATTATCCTTAAGATGTTGATCTGATCTGTGCATGAACGTTCCTTGCGAAAACCGACCTGGTTTGGCCAGAGCAGTTCGTCCATCATGGGAATCAGACGGATGGATGATGGTCACGAGCAGCTTTTCAATCGAGTTTAATAGCGTAAGTTCAATAGCCCCACTAGTTCCTGCATAGACTTAAGTCATCCTTTTTAGGGATTGTGATAATTACCCCATTCTTTCAACGGTCTGGGACACACCTCATGTTTCAGGCATCACGGATTAGGGAAGAACTCTCGCCATGCATCGCGGATTGCATTTAAGTAGTTCGGCGACCACCTGGGACTTTGTTTTGGGATTTCAACTTCTTGATGGCGGATTCCATCTCTCTCAGGGAACTTTTATAAGAATGTCACGGCGGGCATTGTGGTAGCTGCAACGGACTCGATTCTTCGCGGCGAGATGCCTGGGAGGAGAAAAACTCATTCCATCGACTGTTCCGTCTGTTGTTAATGTGCGACCGTTTTCGGATTTGAGTGGAGGACAGGAGGGGATGCTCTTCCCCGACAGTTTACAGATTGCCATGTATATGCCTACGTGCCTATGTATATCTCCTTGATTCGCGGCTCTTTCAACTTTACTTGTGATGTCGTTGTAAAACCTGTGTTTGTCTTCATAATCGGTTAAACAGATCACTCAAGGTTGTTATACTATTCTCGCTTCCCAATCCAGATCTTCTGGATGTTGATCCAGTCGAACTTTTGCTCATCTACGCTCGATTTTAAACCACATAACCTCCTGATCCATAGTTTGCTATTACGTCTCATGAATCCCAGTGTTTCCTCGGCCACTCTACAACACGAACTCAATATGCTTCTAGTCCAGAGCTGACTCTCGAGTTCCTGTTCCCTTTCGAGGCGCTGGTCGAAGGCCTCTATCACGGCAGGATCTCTCAGCCTGTTAACATTGAATCGTTTGACAAATTTTTTCCTATCCGAAAAGCGGCTAATCGCAATCTGATAGTTCCCATTAACAGCTGATAATTACTGCCTATGATCGCGCTGCGTTTAGTTTAGTATCAAGTAACAAATTGAGAACCTTCCTACTTATCAGGATAGGTCGATTTGGTTTCTAGTTCGTCCAGTGACTGTCATGTATATTTGTATATGTTTTTGTAAGGAAACTTCGTGCTGCCGATGCATAACTGCTGGCTAGAGCAGATATTGATTAATCGATTTCCGTTATCTATCGTCATATTCGGGAGTACTTGCCCATGACATGCCTCAAGCCGTCATTGTAGTTTCCAATTTTTGCGTTAAAATCACCGACGATTATTTCGATGTCAGATTGTTAGATTTGTGCCAGGCGGTGAGTGTGGTCTCGAGTTGGTCCTTCGTCCTTCAACTGACTCTGCTGCTTCAGTTGGGCTATAGCACACGACAAAGGTAATTTTGTGAAGTCTAGACTGGAATCTCGCTGTTATGATCGCTGTTATCGGATAGTATCGGCTGGTATTCTATCGGATACGGTTGCTAGCTTATCAACGAATTTCTGAAATCAGGACTTATAAGAATACCAACCTCCTCGCTGCATCAGTAGTAGGAGTTCGAATAGGAAGAGGTCTCTCGATCCATCCCATCTCTCGATTGTAGATGGCCATCCTCCATCTCAGGTGAGATCTCAGGTTAAGATCCCAGGATCTTAATTGCAAGCCTTCAGCCCGGCAGACCTGTGATAGACATGAAGATTTCAAGAGTGATCGAATATTCCATATTCCTATTCTTGTCCGAGTTCGATAGCCAAAGGTCGTCATCAGAGAATCCAGTCCTGCTGCATCTGTATTTGATGTTTTTTGAATCGAGCCTTTTTTATAGAAGTGGTTAAGTAGCCGCCAAACCCTCTCTGTCGTCTTTTACGGTTGGCAAAAGAAAACCGTGACGCTATTCATCGACCGGCAAAGTTATACAAGACGGAACTTTACTTTACTTTGCTTTACCACTCCTCAGCTTTCGCATTTTCAGAAGGGCTTATGACGGCCCTGTCTCGGCTCACCGTTGGTGATTTTGTTAAAACAACTTCGCAGCGGGAACGCACACCAGCCGGCTTGTTGAGGAAAGGCTTGGTGGAACTGTGTTACGCAATCTCAATATTTTAGTTCCGGAGTTCACTCAATCGTTCAGGAGGTTCATTAAAATTATTCTAACAATTTCTTTAAGTCTTAGCGCAATCAATTCTAAAAATATAATATTAAAATATGTATCTGTTAGATATAATATGTGTTAAGTATCATATCATATTTTTTATTCTTTTTTATTATTTTTGTTGACTATCAGTCCTGCGAGACTGTTTAAATTCCGACGCATTAAGGCGTCGCCCTAGATTCCGAAATATTAAGCTAATATTATTAATACTAAGCATCATTTCTTTTTTCTTGTGTATCATGGCATTAGTATGTAATTTTCGTTACAAGTTCCTTGAGTTTTAGTTAAGAAGAAGTCTTATGTATTAATTTCCAAATAAAGCAGAAATTTCTTGTCACAAGGTGAAAATTCAATTACAACCACATGTAATTGAAAAATTACATACTAATGGTATTACCTTGTAAATCCAACATAAAGTTTTGATCCTTCGAACCGGATCTTGGAAGCGACGGTATCATCGTGAGCAAGACAGCCCATGCAACAGTATATGCATTGCGACGTATTCGCCATATTTGAAGTTTGGCGCTCGACGACAATGAAATTGAACTAATCATAAGCCTCAATCAAAGTTATTGCACGAAAGAGAATTTAATTAAAGCGAGTCAAGTAAGGTAAATTGTTTCTGGTTGGTAAGTTTCCGTAACTTGTTAATTTCATTTCATAACTTAATCTACATTAATCCATTTTTACTTTTCTTGTTCATAATAAATGTAAGTAAACTTAAGAAATTAAAAATACGCAGAAGTCAATTGAAGGCCACCTATACGAGCGTAAACTGCGCTCGCATCTAACGAAATATAAACAATACTTACAGCTAAAGAAGCGAAAATCAAAAATAGAGACAATGATATAGTCGTAGTTCGACGATATTTAGTCAGAGATTTAATTACTGGAGGCTTCACCAAAATTAAAGGACATTCAGGAGCAAGCTGGAGCAGACTACGAAGAAATGTATTTTCGTATTATATTAGAATTTCAGAACTTAATTTTGACAAACGAGACATTCAACGTTGAGCTCATGTAAGGAAATAATCCAATTAACAATGAATCAAGTCAACAATGAAATTTAAACATGCACAAACAATTTACAGCTTCCAAAGGTCGATTTACTATCCTTTTCAGGTTCCTTTAAAGAATAGTACTCATTCGACATGTTCCAATCGCTGATATACAATAATCAGTCAGGATACCAAAATTCCATTATCTCAAGGCAATCTTAAAGGGAGAGGCGGCAGAAATGATCCAGAAATTTCGCAAATAATTATCTGGAGATATGGCAGATGTTGAGGAATCGATATAACGACAAACGGCGGATTATTCAGAAACACATTAAGGCATTATTCGAACTGCCCTCGATTCCTAAGGAAAATCATACAAAACTACGTCATACAAAATCATACAAAGCTCAATTAGTGGACAGCGTTTTGAAACATTTACGGATATTAAAAACAATTTGTCGCCTTATTGATTCTTGGGATGACATTCTCATATATTTAGTAACTTAAAAGTTGAATTCTACTACAAACAGAGAATGGAAAGGTAGTCTCACAGGCAATGACATTCCTATCTGGCGTATGTTTACAGATTTCTTGGAGCATAGATGTCACATCTTGAAGGCAATTGATCGGAAAGGGCAAGTGTAAACATCTTCATTGGCGCAACCCAAGGGTACACAATCAAAGATAGTATCACATGTGTCGTATCACAAACAAGGCATGCTGTCAAATATGCAGGAAGTTATTTAATCTTTTCATGCGAACAATTTCTTAAGCTCGTTTTAAATGCATGAAGGAACATAAATTATGTTTGAACTGTCTGCGATTTTCGTCACACACTGCAAAAACATACAAGACAAGCAGTTGCAAAACATGTGGCAAACGGCACAATATGTTGCTACATATTTCTCAGTCGAAGATGGAGCTCTGAATTCTTTGCAGAAAAGGAATTCACAAGCGTCAACAATTATTTCGTATACATTAAACTGTCTTTCAGACAAAAACCTCATAGGTTCTTCTTTCTACAGTTCTTGTAAACGCAATTGATTGTCAAGGAGTATCGCAGACATGTCGAGTGTTATTAGATTCGAGTTCCCAAACTAATCTCATCGCAGAAGACTTGGTTCATCGTCTGGGTCTTATTATGAAGGCTATTAACATCTCAGTAATAGGAATTAATTAATCATGGACTCATGTACAAGAAATGGTCAAGATCAATGTCAGTTTGAAAATATCATGCGTTTAACGTTACTATCGATTGTCTTATATTGAAGAGGATAAGTGATCGTTTGTCTAACTTTCCACTTGACAGAACGAGTTTCAAAATTCCAAAAAATTTGCGATTAGCAGATCCAACTTTCCATCAATCAACCGATATAGAACTTTTGCTAGGAACTTTTACTGAAGTATTTTAGAATGTCTTGTGCGTCGGCCAGATTGAGGAATCTCCTGAGCATCTGTTGCTTCAAAAAACATTATTCGATTAGATACTCGGCAGCAAATGCGCACATGCCTCGATTCAACTCAGGGCACAACAATGCAACTTGTCGATACAGGCATCTACTGCTAGTTTGGAGAATGCAATTTCTAAATTTTGGCAAGTGGAGCAAATCATCGACCTACATTTACACAAGAAGAAAGGAAATGCGAGAAACACTTCCAACGCACTCATTATCGCAATCAACAAGGGTGCTTTATAGTAGAAATGCCATTCAAACAAAATATGCTATAATCATTAAGCAATTCTTATGATATTGCATTGAGATGATTCTATTTGTCAGAACAAAAATTGAACAAATTTCTACAGTTAAGGGAACAATATACACAATTTATCCAAAAATATTAAAATCTTGGACACATGCAACCTATCAATTCAAACAAGTAAGATACAAGGCCCACATACTACTTGTTTACTGCATCATGCAGTGTTGAAGTCTTCCAGTTTAACTAAAATTCGAGTCGTCTTTGACGCTTCATGCAAGACTGATTCGGGAATTTCACTGATGTAATGATGATAGGACTTACACTGCAGCAAGACGTTATCACGTTGTTCAAGATTTCGTAAATGGCAGTATGTTATAACAGCAGACACACAAAAAATGTATCGTCAAATCCTGATTCACGAAAAACAGCGAAGCTTACAGAGAATCTTGTGGCGTGTTAACAAGGAAGAAAACATTTTCAATTACAAATAAGTTTTCAATTACAACGGTCACATATGAGATAGCATGTGCGTCATACCTTGCGGTACGAGTTTTACGAGAGGCAGCAAAGATAAACCAAGACAAACGATCACTCGGAGCATTAAAGATCGTAACTGATTTCTACGTCGTTGATTTTGTTACAGGAGCAAATACAATTCAAAAGCTTATGACTATTAAGGAAGAAATTAATTCTAAATAAAGCTGGATTTTGCATGCATAAATCCAATCATTTTATGAAGGTCAAGGAAGTATCATTAGCTGATATATTAAGATTCGATAAGGATTTTAATATATCAACGCTGGAATTACAATGGGATTTTAAGGAAAATCAATTTAGATTCTTCATCAATGAATCTAATCAAGTTAAAACTATTTCGAAACGCGCAATTTTTTCAAGTATCGCACATATTTGATCCTTTGGGTTTTGTAGGGCCAGTCATCACAACAGCTAAGATCTTCATGTAACAATTATGGCAATAAAAACTGGATTGAGATGAAGCAGTCCTTCTTAACATACATACTAAATGATATCAGTACTAAACAGAACTTCCTCAATTGAACGCACTTCGTGTTGCACGAAATATTATTATATGCGCACACAAATCTTAAAAGGATAGAATTATATAGTTTTGCAGATGCTAGCGAGAAAGCATATGGCGTATGTGTCTACAAATGCGTTTACAAATTCAAACGGTCATCATCAGACAACGCTTGTACTAAATCACGTGTGTCACCCTTGAAGAATTTATCACTCCCAAGATTAGAGTTGTGTGCAGCACAATTATTGTCTGCTCAGCTAACACATAAGGTTCAATCTACCGAAATCAACTTCGATTGTGTGCATTATTGGTCTGATTCGATCATCAATCTATCATGGATCTGTCATGGATCAAGTCATGCTCAAGAAAATGGACTACATTTGTAGCAAATAGAGTTAGTGCCATTCAAGAGTTGTCGAATGCAGACAATTGGCACTATGTAGAATCATCTCAAAATCCAGCAGATATAATCTTCAGAGGCATGTTGCAGCATTGCTCAATTCAAGAATTTGATGGAATGGGCTTCTATGGCTCTGATAATACATGCAATTGGCTAGATGACATTCCATTAATCGAACAAGAAATTCCAGAATAGCGCAAAAGGACTCTCATTTCTTCTGTAAATCAAACACATTGGGATATTTACGATAAATATTCACACGCTCATAAATTGATTAAAGTCGTTGCGGTTCATTCACAATTGTCGAGGACATAAACCTAAGTTGCAAGGTCCATTTGAAGTTTTTGAATTAGAGACAGCAACTCAACGCTTAACGAAAAATGTTCAAGCCATGGCATTTGCATAAGAATTGAAATGTTTCCAGCTCGATGAGGAGATACCAAGAGGTAGCACGCTCTTAATCCATTTTTTAATCAAATGTCTTATACGTGTTGGAGGAAGATTTCAACATTCAGATGTATCATATTTCTCAAGACATCAATTAATGTTGCCAGCGAACATCTGTTCACAAAATTGTTATTTGAACGAGGACACCTAAGACTCCTGCATGCAGGAGCACAGATGACTTTAACCTCAATAAGGCAGAGATTTTAGCCATTGAATGATCGCAGAACTATTAGACAAATTATTCGCAAATGCGTAAGGTGTTTCAAAATATCTCCAGAATCAGTTATACGTCCTGGGAGGTCCTGGTAGATCGGACGGAGCCGAAACAGATCCTCGACCGCTACACTCACACGTTATTTGTGAGATTCTTTTCCATGCGGTTAAGAGGGTAAAACCTCAGGATTAGATACTGCGAAAGAAGTAGATAACAGGAATGTCGAAATGACTTTTATTTTCAGGAAAGAG